AGTGCCTCTCAACATACTGCTTCCCAAAGCCCAGAAAGGTATTCATGCAAATGTAGAGACCACCCTCGGACTCCTGAGAGATGGGACATAGGAAAAGAGGCAGGTGAAAGCTGGCCAGACAGATTCAGCAAAGGGATGGGATCCATATTAAGATTCTAACATTATTTAACTGAACCATGCTATTTTTAGATCTATGTCAGACAGACATGGGGGGGGGGGTTAGTTTTTAAATAGTAACTCAAAGCAGTCATAAACCCAAAAAAACCCCCATAATTGTTCAGTTAAATAAACCTACAAAGATTAGTACTTACAGCAAAATAAAAGATAGGGAATATCCTTTTTCAAGTTTCAATCTCTGAATATTTTATACATCCTTTGACTTCAAAATAATAAAATGCATTCTAACATTACATTGTAGACTGAGACAAAACACTGCATTTGAAAGAGGGAAGCATCAAAAGATATCAAAGTACATTATAAAAAGTAAATATAGAAACACAAATACTTATGAATACACAAATACATATACATACACACACTAAATACAAATATTTAGAAGGGTAAGAATCAATATAGACCAAAATACTGTTTCCTGGGAAAACTGATTATCACATTTTTTTAAACAATGCTAACATTATGTTCTTTATTAAGAAAAAAACTGGAGCTTACTCTTTTACTTCTGTGCTTAGATATTCAGGATATGCGATTATAATTATTACATTCATCTACAAAAAGTTTCTCCTTTACTTGGCTGGCTATAGAAAGATAAATGATACAGATCCATTCTAATTCCTATTTGTCATTTAGAACAAAAATACTAGAGAAGTTATATACAATTCGTCTTTATCAACCCACACATTGCATAAATGATTAATTTCAAAGTTTGTGCAGGGAAAACTAGTTCATAATTTGATTCTAAGAGTTCAACAGCAAAATAATTACTACAAATTCAAACCAGACTAATCATGCATCCCTAATTTAACAAGCTAGATTAAAATCTGTAGATAATTAGAATGTCAATGTTACAAGGCAAATGGAGAATTCCACATGTAGCCTCATAAGCATTAAAGTCCTAAAATATTTTGTTTTTGAAATGCAAAGACATTGTATAGAAATCTGAAATCGTAAGGGTTAGAGAATTCCCTAAGGGAAACAAAATGAACAAAACCTGTTTATTAGTCAATACTACTTGAAGTCAGAAATAGGAATGCTAAAGAAACAAAATGAAACTTGCATTTTATGCAATAATCATAAGGAGGAATTAGAGCTAATTTAAAAAATTTTCAACATCAGTGATCTCTAAGAGAAACAAAGCTTGTGATGTAGACTTAATTATGACTGTCCATTCCATTTCAAAGCTTCCAGTCTTCCTAGGAATGTGTTTCAAAATGCTTCCCAGCATGTTGGACTAAGTATCAACACAAAAAGTCTAAATCTCTAGAGCTTTCTCCCTCCTCTTAGACTCAATCTTGATTTTCACCCAAAAGGTTTCTCCAAGAATGATGGATGGGAGGGCAGGACAGATTAGGGAACCAGTTCTCTGGAGGTAAATTGAGGTTCATACTTCTGGGGAATATGACCATGGGAACTATATCATGGAGATATCCTAAAGTAGAAGCTGGATAAATTTTGACTTTACAAAGCACTAGGAAGTTTCAGATGCTCAAAATCTGAAGCTTGAGCAATCTAGCATTCCTATCGCAAAATCATCCTCCCTTCCCAGAGTATGGTCGAAACATAAGAACCCCACCAGAGCCTCCCACCCATAGAAACCATATCCATTTCCAAGACTATCCTTACTGAGAAGCCACCAATGTATCCACTGGAGAAAAATACTGGGAAAGACAAGTCTCCAGTTCAATCTGTTCACACCTAAGAAAGAAAAAAATAGGTTTCCCTCTAGGCTGTGGTGGAGAAAATGGAAAAGGAGATTGGGGATGATGACAAAGTATACTTAAACCCTGTAGCAACAAGTGTTATCTTCCCAGAATAAGGACTTCTACAGCCTTGAAAAAATCCTCACATTACAAAGAACAGGACACCAAGGAATTAGGCCTTCACTGAGATCTGAACTACCCCTAACACTGTATAATTAACACCATTCATAATAGCATTTCCCGTGGAAGAAAACACCCAAAACCTTTTCACACACGCGCGCGCGCACACACACACACACATACCCCTAACCCCACCCCAAATGGGACAACCAAACATATCCAATGAAGATCCCACAGTACTCAGCCAAGTGGGCCACAAATATTTGCTCAGGGTGAAGGAAGCTCACTATTAGCTCCCTCACTTGAAGCTGCCAGTTCCTTAAAAGGATAGCTGTCAAAAGGCAGATAGTGTGCCCTTCTGGATTTTTTAAACCATGCAGAACAGAAATGAACAAAAGTCAATGAGAACATAAAGGGAAATGCATCAGCCTCTTTTAAATGCTGAAAGCCTTTGAGAGTGGGATCTTGACCCAACCCATGAACTCACGGTCAATCCAATACAACAACCATTAATAATATTTAAGTGTTAGCAGGAGCAAGGAGCTACTTATGCTAGGAAGTGGGGATACAACGACAAAACAAAATCAGTCCCTGCCCTCAAGGAATTTATCTTCTACTTACAACAGGTAAACATAAATAAACACACCCTATAATTTGAAGGAGAGAGCTAACAACTACACTAAGCAAGCATCATACGATGCAATATTCAATTTCTGCCCTAGAAATAGAAGTCCTGGCTTTCACAAAGCAAAAACAGTCTTCAGAGTTAGATTCTGAGAAATCCTCTCCCCTCACCTAGCAAAAACAAGCTCCAGGGGAAGCAAAACTACCAAAATCTCCCAGACCACAAAATCACAATGGATAACACTGCACTTAGACATTGGATTAAAGCTCCAAAACAGCTATGCCAAACACTGATGATGCATGTAACGAAGGCCTTCCACCCTGACTTGGTGGTTCCAAGCATGAGCCAATTTGGCTGAACACCCCAAGGCAAGGCCCAACAGCTACGTGGAAAGGGAGGATCACACCCAGTTTATTTACTGCTCTCTCATTCTAAGCTTTGACCATTAGGCTGTCACTACACTGCACAATGTTTTCTGTTCCTGTATGTTCTGCTTGAGAATGAAATACAGCAGGAAAAGAGGCACTGGGTGATTAGTATGGAGCATGGTGTGTGGGTGGTGGCTTTGTGAAGTATCTAAGTCAGGACAGGAGATGAGTAAGATTCGTTTGCATTTCTCAAGACAAGAGCCATCTTTCGGCACCCTACTCAGTTCCTTCTAGGGGAGATATTATAGATCCACAGGTCACTGGTGGGATGGGAAGGGGGAGGAGGAGGGAAAGAGAGGAAATATGACTTTTTTTTTTTTTGCCAATAGATAGGAAACACAGTCGGAGTTGCATTGCATGATCCAATCCTAGCCCCTCCCCACGAGGTGGCAGGGTCCTACTCAGTCCCACCCATCCCTGACCCTAAAGTGGGCCAGCATCTGGGTGAGGCGCAGGGCACTGTTGGAACTACCCCCAAGGCAGCCTGGGTGGGTGTGGGGAGAGGGGGAAGGGAGAGACGAGAGAAAAGGCAAACCTCCTCTCAGACTACCACTCCCAATGGGCCCCACGCGCCCAGCGAGAACGCTCCAGCCGGTCGCCACGACCACACGGGAGATGTAGTTCTTTGGCTAGCGTGCACTGAGGCTTCCAATGACAGAGAAAGGCAAGGGCGACTACATCCCCCAGAGTGCTCCACAGGACAGGGAAAAGAAGGGGTGGGTAAGGTGCCCTTGGGTGTGGTAGTCGCCTACAGTCCCCATGCTCGTGCGTGTTAACGGCGGAAGAGGGCGCGGAGGACTACAAATCCCATGGTGCCCTGCGATAGCTCGGTAGTGCAGGCCCCGGCAGAATGACCAGGGCGATGCTCGCCGCAGGCATGGGGAGTGAGCTTACCGGTGTGTCGAAGGAGAAGGCGCATTCGTCTTTGTGAACCCGATCTCCGGCCTTGGGAACCCGGATACTCGGTAATACAGAAAGCAGCGCCTCCTCACTCAGCTCCGCCATGACACCGGCAGCAGCACTTCCACACAGAACGGCTCCCGCGACTCCCACGGTTCCTCGCCCCTACCACCTCAACCAATCCGCAAACCACTCGGAGCGCACGCGCACTAAGAAGAGACGCGCGCGCCTGGCAGTTAGATAAAATTGCTCTCCCCTACTTTCTATGGAAGCCAATGAAAAGCGCTCCTACGGCGATTGACAAGCTGCATCAGCCAATCCTCAGCCCCCAGGGAAGGAACGCTTATAGGATTGCGAGGCCGGTAGCGAAGTTTTTGCTCTCCTGACTGTGCCACCTCCGTCGCCCCCTCACGCGCCTTCGGTTGACCAATCCAAATTTACTTTTCAAGTAATTGACAGGTGTTTTAACTAATCATCCCGTGAAACGTTTACTGGGAATGGTCTAATCGAAAAAAATGGAAGGATTGAGATAGTAGCTTTCATGGCATTCGAAAAGCATTTTATAATGAGGAAGAAACCTTAGTGTGGAGATATATATATGATTGATAGTAGCCCTAACCAATAGCTGTTATTGGATAAACTCTCTTCCGGGGGGTGAGTGGTAGAAGCCATTAACCTGGCAAAGCTTGTAATAATGTCCGATCATTTATATTAAATTACCTATAATTTTTTTACTATTCCGTTTTTCATTAAAACTGTAGATGATAAACAATGCGAAACAGTGCATTAAACACTTTTTCAGGTATTCAAGTAATGACAGCTTGCAAAAACTAGAGGGAAATCCATTTAATTAATCGAAGGTTCTCCTGGAGGTGGAGCTAAGGGCTTTCATTGGAGTAGGAGGGCTTTCTGGACCAGCGTCCCGTTTTAAATGCCCATTGGCCCCCCTGGTGCGTACGACAGACACTTCCCGGGCCCAATGAACGCCCATGTCGGCAAGCGGCGTCCCACGTACGGGAGGGTGGCCCGAGGTTCAGCCAATCAGAGCGAGCCAGGGAGCGTGGCGGGAGGTTTGAAACGCAACTTTGAGAAGTCGGGACCGGATGGTAACAGATTCGCAAGAAAAGCCTGACCTGGTAAAGTAAGCGAGCTCTCGGAGCTTGGGAGGCACCTCCCCCCTCCTCCCTCTTTCTCCGCTAGGACCCTCTGTCGAGACTGCGCTGGGGCCTCCACTCCGGGGAACCAAGGCAGTCAGAAGTCAAAGGTCATCTCCCCGTCCCCTTGGCTCGGGGGCGAAGCGGCCGGGAAGGTGTCAGAGACCTGAGCGGTCCCTTTCTCCTCGCAGGTTTTCCCGTGCTCCCGCCCTCTTGGGCAGCTGGCCGGCGGAGCTGTGAGGATGGGCTCGGCCAAGAGCGTCCCAGCCACCCCGGCCCGCCCTGCGCCATGCAACAAGCATCTGGCGCACGTAACAGACCCTCGTTCTCCCAGCGCAGGCATTCTGCGCACCCCCATCCAGGTACTGGGGAAGCTCGAGGGGTACCCTTTCTGCCCTAGGGAGTCAGTGTCGGGTGGGGGCGGGTGCTAGCATCTTGTGCCTGCTCAGGATATCAGCAACCCTACTCCTGCTCCTGAGTATGGAACTGTCTAGTCCAACTTAACTTATTTTACCGACGAGGAAACTGAGGCTCAGAGAGGTGAAAGGAATTGCCCAAGATAGTATCATAGCAGACCCAGGGGAAACTGCCTTTCTGACTTCAAAGGAAGTGTTCTTTTCTATTCTACCATAGCTCCCTCCACTGGATTTGGAGTCAAGAGACCCGGGTCTCAACCACAAAAGTTCCAACATTGCATGCTTTTGTGACCATTACTATCATCATAACAATGGCTAACATTTATATGGTGTTTACCACCTACCAGACACTGTGCTAAGTGTTTGACAAATATTTTATTTGATCCTCACAACAACCCTGGGAGGCTGGTGCTATTATTATCCCTATTTTACAGATGAGAAAACTGTGGCAAACAGAAGTTAAATGTCTTGCCCAGGGTCACACAGCAAGTAAGTGTCTGAGGCTGAATTTGAATTCTATCCACTGTGCCAACAGCTGCCTCTGATGACCATGAACAAGTCACCTAATCTCTCTCTGAGTCTGATTTTTCTCTATATTTATCTATATGCAAAGGGTGATGGTAAAGCCTGCAAAGAAATGTATAATGTGAATCTTCAGTTGATGTGATTGTATTGTATTATTGGAGATCACAGGAGAAGAGACAGAGAAGGTGGGGGCCACTCCAGTCCTGAGAACTGGCCTAGGTTCTATATCATATTGGCAGGTGGAAAGCTCACCACAACTAAGTCCCTCTGCCATGGAACAGCAGCAGAAAGTGGGGACCAAGGATATGGAGCAACCACAGGGCTCAGATCCTCGCTCTCCCACATTTGGCATTATCCGAACGCCCATGAAAACCAGCACAGTAGGTTGGTATTGTACCCAGGACCAAGACAGACCTGTTAGAGCTATTTCCCTTAAAACTATCCCCACAAATCCCTCTCCAGAGCTATGTCCTACTTCTTTCTAAAGAAACCAAGATTTCTCTCTTCCTTATCTCCACCTCTCCCCCCTCTCCCCTAATACCTTTCTATCCCATGGATTTTTGCCCATTGTTAATTGGATTCTGGTCCTCATCTTACCTATGGGCTCATCTTCATCCCTGTTTTAAGTCAGGAGTTATTAATCTGGGATCTGTGAATATTTTTTAAAAATATTTTGAAGACTATATTTCAATATAATTGGTTTCCTTTGCATTTCTATATGTTTTATACATTAAAAAAATTATTCTGTGAAGGGGGTCCATAAGCTTCACCAGACTGTCAAAGGGGTCCATGACACACAAGAAAACTTTAAAACCCCTACTCTAGTGACTAAATGACAAGACTCTTACCTTCTGTGCTCTTGTTATATGACAGAGAGTCTGGGAACAGTTCTTAGGTGAAGGTTGTCTCTTCCAGACCCTGCAGACCAGCTGGTAAAGCAGCTTAGTGAGGCCTTTGGGGCTGAAGCCTCTAAGCTAGAGCATTCCAGTGAGCTGGCCCTACCTGTGAAGTTTTCCTCACAGCCTGAGCTGGACTTGTCCCTGGATACTCCACTGTCCCTGGAGCGCAAGAAACTACCAGCTTCCCTGAGCCAAACTGAGGTTTCCCGAAAACAGGCAAACACTACAGAAGTAACAGAACAGCCTCCAGCACTTCGAATGACCAGCCAGGACCCTGACAAGTTCTTGAGAGGTTCTGAGACTCCTTGTTCCTCAGGTACAAGATACTAGTGGGAGAAAAAGTAGCAAACAAGTTTTCCTTCAGAGGAAGAGGCTCCTTACGTAATAAAGGGAGTGACCTATGTTGGAGGTGAGTATATTTAGGACAATTCTGATTTTGATCTTTCCCTTCACCCTACCACCATTCAGGTTCTAGGCCCCCTAGAAGGAAACCTGCTGGCAAGGTCCTAGGAAGATCACCCCTCATCACCCTGCAGGATGATAATTACCCTGGTCCCCTGATGCCTCGGCAGGTATAGGTTGTGGGGAGAAAGGGGATTTAACTGAGTAGTCTTTCTCTGGAATTGCTTCTCTTGAGCCTCCCATCTCCTTCTCCTATA